CTAACAGAGCACTTAAAAGGAAACCTGTAGAAATGAAACTGACACTATGAGAAGCAATGACTTGAACAACCTTTGTACTGACTGTTGAGGAACAGCTTATTATTTTATTTTTATTATTTTTCTACTTAATACCATTGGTTGAACTCTTTACTTAACATAGAATTAATCACAGTGTATAAATTCAATTGAAAATAAATCCCAGTAAAAAATAAGAGTGGGAATAAAAGAGGGAGGAGCTGTACAGTTCAGCACATGTTCCCACGCACTTACACCTAAGGGTAAAGCTAAAAACTTGCCATGAGACTCTAAATCCCATTAAGCTGGGTGGCAATAATGCCATCTTATGTGTTAAAGTGATCATATTAAGTGTGTATTTGGTCATACAGAAGGATTAAGTGTCAAAGGGATCACATAAATAAGACCAGTGTCTGCTAATAACAATAGATAGTGTGGGGAGCAACCCGGACTGGACTGAGTTACTGGAATTAAGACTTATTCTATGCATCTGCTCTCCCACAATATGGCGCTGGGAGAGAAGAAAACAGCTTCTACACAGCTGCCTCCAGTTCAGCCAATAAACTGTAGGACTTGCTCCTGATTGGAGGAGAGCAGCGTACTCGGCGTGTGGGCAGCCGAGTTGGGATTGGCGGAGGAGGACTATATAGGAGGAGAGAGACGGCATGGTGGTGTGGGTTGGTTGGAGAGTGCGTTGGAGAGTTCGCGGGGAAGTTCGTTACTTCGTTCTTTCTCATTTCTCTCTACTCATTCTTGCTTTGGGAGTTTGCTGTTTACTTATTCTTACTTTACTATAGAAAGGACTTGTAAAAAAAGGGAACAACAAGCGCCCGGTCCGGTGCGGCTCCTCCGCGTGCGGAGGAGCAGCAGATAGAAATAAAAAGGAGAGAATGTTCCAACATGGGAAGCGGGACACACAGCAGACTCATAGAATGACAAATGCCCTAAACAGCACTCTGACCTCAGAATCAGCCCTTAAGGTATTAAGATCTAGCTGAAAAGTCCATGAGAGAATTTCAGGCATGGAAAGCCAAGACACGGTGGCAAGAAGTGTTCTACATGAACTCTGTGGGTAAGAACCCAGTGGAAAGAAGGGGCCATCAAAGAAGGAGGTACATTTCTCTGAAGGGAGGAGAGAACTTCCACTTTGTTTATGGCCTTGTCTAAATAATGATGGAGTTTGTAAATTCAAGAGGCTTCCATAGCCTTGGCAGCTCACATCAAGAGCCTTGGGTGATCACTGACATCATACATAAGAGTGTCAGTTGTTAAATCAACAACAGGAGTCACTGTGCACTTGTTCCCCATGTAGGACCTCTGTCCTTAATGAGTTGCACTATGAGAATCAACAGTAAAACTAGTCTTCAAACAATACTTCATACTTTGTGTGTCTGTGTGGATGCAAACTACTGAAATATTTACTTATTATAGAGTTGTTCTTCTGTATATAAAGTTAATTTAAGAAGAATCTAATGAAGAATGGGATGGGAGTAGGAGGTGGGATGGGAGTGGGGGTGGGAGGCAGGTATGGAGGGAAGAACCACTATATCCCTAAAGCTGTACCTATGACATTTGTATTCATTAAATAAAAGTTTTCTTAAAAAGAGAAAATGAAGCCCACAATGATACACCACTCATACTCATTTATGAGGAAAAAGTCAATCTTGTTCACGCCCTAATTGGAAGGCTTGGCTGACAGCAGCAACAGCAGCCAGCACATCGACGTCTCAGCTTACCCAGCTGTCACTGCCAACATGAAGCTGAGCACCACCAAACTCCCTGCTTGAGCCAGAGCTGCTGCACCCAGATCAGCTGCAGACAAGGGCAGAATTCGCGATGGAGATTTCTTAAAGATTTATTTTACTTACTTGAAAGGCAAAATGACAGAGAGAGAGGGGAGAGACAGAGACACAAAGAGATCCTCTATCTGCTGGCTCCTTCCCCAAATGGCCACAACCGCTTGGGCCGGGCCAGGTCTGTATTAAGAGCCGAGACCTCTATCTGGGTCTCCCGCGTGGATGGTGGGTGCCCAACTGCTTGTGCCTGCCACTGCCTTCCTGATGAAGTCATGCTGGGAGTAGTGGCTTAACCTGCTGCACCACGGTGATGGCCCCTCAATGGGAGATTCAAACAGATGGGATCCGGATTCTCCAGTTCTCCAGAGAACTGTGATGGGAGCAAAAACCTGGCAAACCAAGCAAAGCAACGGTGGACGTGGTCGGTCAATAGTGACGGCTGTGACAACAACTAGGGGATCCTTAGAGCTTCGTGCTTCTCAGAGAGGGGTCACATCTGCCTGTTGGGAGGGTGCTGAGACTGTGGGGGCTGCAGTGGCACAGAGACCCTCGTGGAAGCCACCAAGAGGAGCCCTAAGTGCTCCAGGCTCCCAGCCAGGGCAGCTGCAGGAGAGTTTCCACGGGAAGCCAGAAGGTTCCCGTCAGAAGGAGCAGAGCCTGGACCCACAGAGCCACTTTCTGGACGTGGACAGGGAGCTGCTGGGGGAGGAAGTGGCCACCAGCACCGGACACTGCCTGATGCCATTCACAGCAACATCTAGCACAGAACTGGGCCGGGGGCACCGGAGGGCACAGGCGCTTGTCTAGGATGAGGGAAATGATCTGCTATTTCCACATGAGGCAGAATAGGGGACCCCCAGAAATTCTTCTCCGTTGACCAAGCCCTGGAGCCCAGGTCCTTCCCTGGGGTCACATCTGCCTTGAGCTGGCAGGGACGAGCCTTCCCCCACCTTGATGGGGGTGTCACTGACCGCTGACCAGAGCAGGTGCTCACAGGGGCCAGCTCAGGGCTTCAACACTGACCTCAACCCCACAGCCATTTCCAATGGAAGCTGTGGTTTTCAGGCCTGGCTACACATGGCAGTCACGCAGGCCAGGCCAGGCCCGATGTGGGCCACAGCGTCCCAGTGGGGCACCATGAGGCAAAGCTGAGCCCTGCATTCATCCCTCGGGGAGGAAGGCTCCCTCACTTCTGAAAATCTGCAGAGTTTCATGTGTGTGGTAGAATGAGAAGGCCATGCCAAGATGGCCAGTGGCAACAGAACCTGCCTGGCAACAGGTTGTGATTGGTTAGGGCATAGACTGCCCCTTGACTGGATTGGCTGCCTCAGCTATATAAGCTACTGTACCAACTGAAACAAACCAGTCTGCAGGCTGTTCACCTCTGGCCTGCTTTCCCCTGACTCCCAGGGTCTGTGTGGTGACTCTGTGCCTCTTGCCCCCACCACATTCCTTCTCTCAGAACGAATCCACCTCAACACATGTGGTTTTCCTGCTTGCTTTATTTTAATCAGTTCCAGAGTTTCAAGCGAAATTTGGCAAAATAAGCCTGTTGTAAGCAGCACAGAATCAGAACAGGTCAACTGCTGCCAGGCTGGCAGAGAGCCAGACTCAAAGTGACCACTGCAGAGGAGGCAAGGACGGTGGGGACACATCCCAGGGAGCTCTGCAGCAGCTCAGGGCACCTGGGACCTGGAACTGCCACAGGTGTGTGCCCCAGGAGCACCAGCTGGTCAGGTGCTCAGTCCGCTCCCTCAGACCAAACACCGGGAGGCACTGGGAAAGAGCCTAGAGCTGAGCACAGCCCTGGGTGCAGCCACAGCCAAGGACACCCGGGGCCAGGAGCCAGCTACACCTCCTGGGGAGGGCAGCCCAGCCCAGCCACGGCCTGCTCCCAGCTAGTCCCCACGGCTGTGCCAGCCATTGTGGGAAATTCTAAGAGGACAGCCAGGGTGAGATCCCAGGCACAAAACACTGAGCCAGGCCACAGGATAGGAAGGGCCAGGTCACTGTCATGAACTCAGATCCCATTCCATACCTGTCCTGTTGCTTCCCACTCACTCCTGCCCCAAGGACACCCTCCCACCTGTCCCCCAGGGATGCTGCCCCCCCAGGGCCACACACACGCACACACACCTGCGACACCCCTGCCCCAGGGGCACACACCACAGTTGAGTCAGGCTGACCAGCTCCAGAGCACGCCCTGGCCCCACACCTACCAAGGAGCCCTGTCTGTGCAGCAAGGATGCTTGCAGTCCAGCTCCCACCATGGGAGTCACCCTCACTGCCCAGCAGTAGGGTCCAGAGGAGGCCCAGGTAGGGCCTTCAGCAGACTGAGGTCAGTGTGGAGGGTGGGGTAGGGCTGGCATCCCTGGACAGAACTGGGGACGAGGGACTCACAGTCTACACAAGGATGCTGACAAGGGGGAAGGCAGGGGGAGTCAGGAGACATGAAGGGAGACCCAGGTGTGGATGCTGGGGTCAGAGGTGAGCTTTCCCCAGCTGGAACTGCAGCAGCATGGGGCTGCTCTGTGCAGGACAAAGCTGTGGTCCCTGGGGTCGGTTCTCCAGGGGCCACCCTGAGAGCTGTGCCCCAGGCTTGGATGAGCGGCGGGAGCAGATGGTGGACCCGCTGGAGAACAAGCGGCGGGGGTGCCTGACACGGGGACAGGGCCCTGGGGAGGCAGAGGAGAGCGCCCAGGGCACAGGCTCAGCAGTGGAGGCTCCGGGGTTTCTGGTGTGAGTTAGTGATATCGAGTGAGGTCAAAGGGCATTTAATTCAGTTAAAGAGTGAGGACCATGATGCCACAGCCTCCCAGGTCCACCTGCCCTCTGGACATCCCTCCCTCCACAGTCAGCTTAGGGTCATCATGTGCTGGGCCAGCGGCATCCAAGGAGAGACATGCACATGGGACCCTCCCCAGGATTTCCCAGATCCTGGTTTCTTGCTGCAAAGCAAAGTCACACGAGGATGAGACCCAGACAGGATGGGTCGGCGACACCAAGATGGCTCCTCACACCACACCCTGCCCACCCTGTGTGATCAGGGCTGCTCAAGGACAAGGCCAGCCCAGACAGGAGCCCCGGGAAGGCCTGTGGCCCCCTGCCCCTCCTCTACCCAGGAAGATTCCACCGGGAGGGCACAGAACACCCAGGCCGAGACAGGAGCGAGGGCCGTGGACACAGGGAAGTGGCTCTCAGGTCTTTAAATGTAAGTGCTGGCCAGAGCAGGATCCTGAGCGTAGGAGCAGTAGAGCAGGAACAGCGCCACGGAGCCCAGGGCACACAGGTGCACACCCACGGGGCTCAGAAATGCCCCCGACTCCGGCCCTGGCTCCTCGGGCTCTACCTCATCATCGCATTCCTCCTCCGGCAGCAGGTCCCTGGATGCCGAGGGCCCCTGAACATTCTCCTCACAGCCAGCCGCCGACATCCCAGCACCTGCAGAGGCCACGGTAGAACTGTCTGTAAGAGCTGCTCCTGCCTTCTGAACCCACCCTGCCGGCCCCATGGCCTCTGGCATACACTGGGCTCCTTGACTGGCACCCCACTGACAGCAGTAACCCTCCACTGTAACACAGGTTTCTGGGGCACCCAGGGCTCCGAGGCCTGGGGGGGCTGTGGGTCTCGGCCCCTGCACACACACCTGGAGCCCTCAGCACACACAATGCAAGGGACAGAAGCACCCCAAGGCCCCTTCTCTGGCCCCTAGAGTGTGGACCAGCTCCGTGCCATCCATTGCAGAGGCAGAGCAGGCTCAGGCCCAAGGTCCCCAGGTCCCCACAAGCTCATGGGTCCACAGAGTGGAGCCCCACAGTGGACAGCACCCAGCAGGAAGGGCCATGGACACAGAGGCTCAGCCACAGCCAGGGTCTCACACAGGGGCCTCCCCAGCCCCAGCCATGCCCACCTGCCCCTTCAGGCTGCACTGCAGTGGCTCCCCTGAGTCTCCAGGACCAGGGAGAGGACAGCCAGGAGCCCGCAGGCAGCATCAGGTGATCAGGCAGAGTCCAGGCTCTGGGGGCAGGTGCCAGAGCCAGGGGAGGGGCTGAGGGCACACAGAGAGAGGCAGGGCCTTCTTGTACCTGGGCTGCCCAGGGCATTGTGATCCTGGAGGACCTCCCTCGAGGAGGGTGGTTACCTCGGGGTGGGGGGTGGGGGTGCTGGGTGCTGCCTGCACAAATGGCTCCTCCCAGAGGTGGTCCGAGGTCTCAGGGTGGAGTGGCCCAAGAGTCAGAGCCAGAGCTCAGACAGTGGCACAGGAAGGGACGCCCAGGTGAGAGGATCTACGTGGGTGGGCACAGGAGGAGGATGGGGTCGTGGGCCGGGTGGGAAGACACAGGTGGCAGGTGCACAAGCCCAGGCAGGCAGCACAGGAGGAAGAACCCAGGTGGGAGGATCCAAGCAAGAAAATCCAGGTAGAAAAATCTAGGTGAGGGGTGCTAGGGGCACAGTATGATGACTCAGGTTTGGGGTAGTGGACAGCTCTCATCCTGAACCAGCTCTGCTTTGGACAGAGCCACAGCCCAAAGGATCAGAGGTCCACTCATCGAGGGAAAGGCCCCAGAACAGCGGCTTTGGGGCCTTGGCCTCTTCCCCCCCAGATTTCTCCCCCAGACCAGTGGGAGGAAAGCCAGCAGCGCTCACCAGAGACGGCCATCGCTGTCGCCGGGGTCCTGGTCACCAGGGCCTTGGCCTGACCGTCTAGGAAGGGCCTGACTGTGGCACTCGCATCGCAGGGGTCTCCACGCCACATGAGCCCCTGCTCCCGGGTCGCCTGCAGGAGACGTGGCAAGAGGAAGGGGTCCTCAGCCTCAGCCCCACCCAGTCGAGCTTCCCCCTGGGCCCGGGACACCCGGGGTGGGCCCCGCACCGGCTCTGGTTAAACCGCAGGCGGGCTAACGCCGGAGGAAACGGGCCGCAGCACACGCTCGTGGTCCCCCTGCGCGCTGAGGGCCGCGCAGCGCCTCGGTCCGACCACAGCCCCAGGGGCCGGCGGGTCCCAGAGCAGGTGAGCACAGCTTGGAGCAGCAAGAACGGGGAGGGGGCGGGGAGAGGGGCGGGGCCTCCCTGGCTGTCCCGGACGACGCCGTGGTGTCTTCTGTGACGCTCTGCCGGATCCACACAGCAGTTCTAATGCACAATGAAGATGCGAAGGGAACGGCCGCTGTAGCTCAGCGGCAGCCCAGAGACCATGGCCACCAGGGGCACCTCTGGGCCACCCCCTCTCTGGGCCCGGGATTGTGCGTGTCTCTGGCAGAGGGGCAGCTGTGCAGCCAGCCGCACTCGATGTGGCCCACCGCGGGGATGCCAGAGGGCGTGGAGAGCGAGGGCCTGTTCTCCAGACAGCCCCCGCCCGCACCCCAGCTGCCCAGATGACCGCAAGGACCCGCCCCAGGGGCCTCCTGGCGCACAGCGATTGCAGGACACGTCCAGCCACCCAGCCCAGCGGCTTTTGAACCGTGGACGCTGCAAAACAACCAAGGGAGGCCCCGGCTCAGGTGTGGACACCTCAGGAGCCGGAGCCAAGGTGGGGGACCCAGCACCCTAGACCCCATGCCACTCAAAGGTGTCCAAGGAACAGGAACCACGTAAGCCATAAGGTCCACCAACATTAGGATAGCCCTCAGGAAGTTAGAAATGGGGCCCCCGTATGACCCTGCAACCCCAGCTCTGGGTGCAGTTGGGTTCTCCCCACAGCGCTGCCCCCAACAGCCAAGATACGGAGCAACCTGGGTAAGATGATCTAAATGTGAGGCAGACAACAGATAGATGCGGATACAGCAGGTGATGATAGATTAGCTACAGATACATAGATCAACTATAGATAGATTAGCTACAGATGCGTAGATCAGCTATAGATATAGATTAGTTACAGATACATAGATCAGCTATAGATAGATTAGCTACAGATACGAAGATTGGCTTTAGATAGATTAGCTACAGATACATAGATTAGCTATAGATAGATCTAGACAGATATGGATAGATAAAGGCAGGTGATAGACAGATAGCATCCAGCTTTTAAAAAGAAAAAGGAAACCCTGCTGTTTGTGACAATATGGATGAGCCTGGAAGACGCTATGTTAACTGAAATAAGCCAGACACGGGAAGACGAATATGGCATGATTTTACAAGTGCAATCTTAAAAATGAATGCCTGAATGATCACAGAATGAAGAGGGGTTATCAGAGGCAGGCAGAAGAGCGGCAGTGGGTGGAAGCAGGCCTGAGGGAGCACACTGGGAGCTGTGTGGGGCGGATAATTCCAGAACTCTGAGGCACAGCAGGACCACAGCTCAAGCACTGAGTGCACACTGAGCACTTGCCGAGAGCAGACATAGGTGCTCTGAGTGCAGACACAAAGGTGTGCACGTGGGATGATAAATATGTCAGCTGGGTTCCTGCAGTAATTACTTAGCAACACACACGTAGCAAAACATCATGTTCCAGCCGGCGCTGTAGCATAGGAGGCTAAGCCTCCATTTGCGGTGCTGGAATCCTATATGGGTGCCAGTTCGTGTCCTGGCTGCTCATCTTCCAATCCGGCTCTCCGGTGTTCAGGCCCCTGCACCCTTGTGGGAGACCCAGAATAAGCTCCTGGCTCCTGGCTCCTGGCTCCTGGCTTCAGATCGACAGTTCCAGCCTTTGCAGCCATCTGGGGAGTGAGCCAGCAAATGGAAGACTCCCCCCCTCTGTAGCTCTCCTTTTCAAATAAATAACAAATAAAAAATATCGCAAGAAAACACATCATGTTGCTGGCGCCGTGGCTCACTGGGCTAATCCTCTGCCTTGCGGCGCCGGCACACTGGGTTCTAGTCCCGGTCGGGGCGCCGGATTCTGTCCCGGTTGCCCCTCTTCCAGGCCAGCTCTCTGCTGTGGTCAGGGAGTCCAGTGGAGGATGGCCCAAGTGCTTGGGCCCTGCACCCCATGGGAGACCAGGAGAAGCACCTGGCTCCTGCCATCGGATCAGCACGGTGCGCCGGCCGCAGCGGCCATTGGAGGGTGAACCAACGGCAAAGGAAAACCTTTCTCTCTGTCTCTATCACTGTCCACTCTGCCTGTCAAAAAAAAAAAAAAAAAAAAAAAAAAAAAAAAAAAAAAAAAACAGAAAACACATCATGTTCAGAGATGGTATCAGTCCTGTCAGTGTCCAAATGCTAGGGCACCTGTGGAGCAATGTCCTCCAAAAACCAGGAGTGTTAGGAAACTGGCGCAGGTGTAGCCAGGTGGCCACACGGCCCAGCTACCTGAGCCAGGCTCCACCCCCATCCTAATGGGATTCGATGCTCCTGCTTCCCTGCCCGCCCTCAAGCAAAGTTTTAAAAGGGCCTGTTCCTGCACACGTGCTCTCTTGGCCCTTCTCTCCTGCACTCTCTTGTCTCCTCGCCTCCTCTCTGTCTCTCTCTCTTATAGTCTCCCTCTCTTTTTTTCCTTCGCCGCCCCTTCACTCCGGTCTGTAGGGTGTTCCCCAATAAACCCTTTCCCTTACTCCAGTGTCCGGTGTGCTTTGCAATGGCTAACATTAAGATATAACAAGGATGGCCTAAGTAGACCACAGCACGGCAGCACATGGAGCATTGGACACCTGTAAATTATGCTGCAACAGCTGAAATAACATTTTAAAATACGCATGCCAGAATAACTGCAGAAAGTTGGCTATAATTGCATCTGGCAGGATCATAACATTAAAACAAGCTTGGGAAGACATCACAGAGGCATCCAGAAGTGACCACAGAGCTCCTGCCACTGCACATCCCTCCCACGGCATTCACCCCTTCCCCGGGCTGCCATGGGACCACCCCCAGCTGACCAGGGCTGGAGCCTCTGTGATTGTTCTTCACCTGCCTCTGTTCTCAATCTTTGAACCCTGGCTGGACAAGAGAAACACCCCCACTGCCCCTGCAGCCAGCAGCCACCCCATCATTGAGCGCCTGCAGGTGCCTGGGAGAGACCAGTGGGGACCAAAACCCACCAGGCTGGGCACAGTCAAAGGTACGAACCCAACACACCAGCGTTGTCAGGGGGCATTTTGTCTGATGGCATTGGTGACTGACACCTCCAGATCCCCACCATGGCTATAGCTCTGGTGTTGGGAGCAAATTCTTGGATTCAAAGCAAATTCTAACCCCATGTCACAGACTATATCTTATTCCCTCAAAGAGGTAGTATTTTTGTAAAGTCTATCAAAATAAGTCTCCTACCCCAAAAACCTGTTCTGATATATTTTTAAATGACGCCTGCCTCAGAGATGAGCGGTCCCACTCACGTGCCCAACAAGATGGAAGTTTGGATCCTGGACACATGGACAGGACTCTCGGCAAGACCAGCACCACAGGCACAAAACACAAGCCATGCAATGGCCCAGGGCTGAGCTGGCTCCCCACCAGCCCCAGGTGCACCTGCACCCACAGGTGGGGGACCAGGTGCCGTGTGCTGCATGCCTAGCCCTGGGAATGCAGCCTGAAAGGTAGGGTCCTGTGGAGCCCAGAGCAGTGCACAGAAGTCAGAATGACCTGAGACTCAGCTGAGCCCCAGGGAATAAAGCAGCGGCTACGAGTCCTGACTGGTGGTGCCCGACATGCTGGCTCTGGCAGATGTGTGCCACGCTGGGTTCCGGAAGGGTCCCCATGTGAGGCTCGATGGAAGAGGGAAAAGGCTGCAAACAAAAGTCCAGGAAAGATGCAGAGAAAGGGCTGACATCAGTCCCTTCCCATGAAGACCCACAGCCCTGAGCACCCCTGTAGGCAGCCTTTGGACAAGTTAAGGCCAATCTTGGCTTGTGGAATTCCTGGGATAAGAAAGTCACATGCTCCCATCCTGAAGGAGGATGACATCCTGAAGGAGGATAATAATCAAGAACGCTCTGTTATTATCTGTGCTGGGGCTGGTGCCATGGCGAAGTAGGTTAATCCTCCACCTGTGGTGCCAGCATCTCATGTGGGTGCCGGGTTCGTGTCCCAGCTGCTCCTCTTCCAGTCCAGTTCTCTGCTGTGGCCTGAGAAGGCAGTGGAAAATGGCCCGAGTCCTTGGACCCCTGTGCCCACGTGGGAGACCAGGAGGAGGCCCCTGGCTCCTGGTTCCGGATTGGTGCAGCTCTGGCCGTTGCGGCCATTGTGGGGTGGACCGGCAGAGGGAGAACCTTCTCTCTGTCTCTTCCCCTCACTGTCTGTAACTCTACCTCTCAAATAAATAAATTAATTAAACAATCTTTTTTAATTATCTGTGCCACCAGAGGCCCCGGTAAGTTGGTTACATATGTTATCTTTTGTGCTTCTTTGTGCTTCTTTGTTCTGCAGCTGGTTATGTATAAATACCACTGGGACTTTAGAATAAACAAGCCTTCATCAGCCTTGTTGTCTTGGCTCCATTCTCTGTGACCTTGTCCCTCTTTTCATTCCCACTCCCTCCTTCAGGTTCTGTTCGACTGGTGCGGCAGGCCCGCACAAGTGGCGCCCAAACAGGGACCTGAATACGAGGGACAGAAGTGAGAAACCCCGCCATAAAGGCTGTAGCAACAACACAATAATGAGAGGAAGACGGTAAGAACCCAATACCACTTGTCTCCAGGATAGGTGTGAAAGGGGCAATTATGGGACAAGTACAAGGTAAGCAGGCTGTGATAAAGGCTGTAAAGACTCCATTACAGATGCAGAGAATAGGGTTAAAAAGTGAGCCACAGAACAGTTCCTTGATGCTATAGAAATAGTCAGTACCTGGTTCCCTGAAGAAGGAGTCCTGAATGAGCAACATTGGGATTTGCTGGGAAAAGATTTAAATGCGCATATACAGAAACAAAGCAAGCCATGATAAAGGCTGTAAAAACAAGGTAAGCAAGGGCAAAGGCTGTAAAAACTTTATTGTAGACACAAGGAATAGGGTTAAAGAAACAAACCATAGAGCAATTTATCAGTGCTGTTGAAAAAATTAGTCCTTGGGTTGCTAAAGAGGGTGTTGTAAATGAAAATGTAACTACTTACTCCAGGAGTGAAAAATATAGATAGTGTACACTGGATACCCCCCACTCTACATTTAAATATTTCAGCTGAAGTAAATGT